CTGAGCTAAATCCCCAGCCCCTGGGAGGACAGTCTTGACGTATACTTTTCTTCTTCATTTATCAAATTTTGTTTAGGAAATTCCTCTCAGTTCAGCTCATCATAACCCAGTCTGTGCCAACCCGAAGCTTTTCTATCATGTCACACAGCCTTCCCAGGCACACTGACACACAGCTGTGGCCTGGACTGCCAGGCAGTCTCTGCTCTGAAAGGAATTACGTGTCCTGTCGCCAGGACACTGTGGTACTTTCCAGACAGAGGAGCAGGACTGTTAGGATAAAAGACGGTGTGATTCCACTTCCGTTCCTCATCTAGCCTGGCCCAACAGGATCTGAGAGGCAAGATCCTCAGATCCTTCACTCCTGAAATCTCCCAGTCACTCTCACAGCTTGCCACAGTTATAAAATAAAACTAAATTCTGCCTAATGGGCTTCGATGGTACACATTTTATATTCATTTCCTACAGGTGGTCCTTCCAAAGGTCAAACGCCAGATGTATTTCATTTCTTACTCATGATTTCTACTCATGATACCCTTGAGAGAAGGTAATTTCCTGTCAGTTTTTACCTGATGGTGTCGTTTTAATCCAAAATGCAACCTGAATATTTCATTTACAAGGGAGCAGTCTCCACTGAGGTTAGCAGCTCGGATCTGTCAGAAAGACAGAAGGCAAATGAAAAGAAAGTGACACTCATGCACTATATCCCTACATCAACTAATTTCTTAGAACTGGAGAAGAATATAAAATCAGCACATTTTTCCAAGAACACAGTATATGCAGTGCTCTCTTTCGAAGAATTTTTAAACACTGCTGATAATAAAGAGCAGACATCCATGGGTTATGCTAAATGATGCCAGAAGGACCTCTACAACAAAAATCACACTATTCTGGAAGACTGAAAAAGACATCAGAAAAGGGAAAGATATCCCATGTTCCTGGATAGGCGGAACCAATACAGTCAAAATGGCTATATCTCCAAAACTGACCTATAGATTTAATACAATCCCAATCCAAATATCTAAGCATTCCTTATAGATCTAGACAAAACACTCCAAAATTCGTATGTAACCAGAAGAAACCTAGAATAGCAAAAGCAATTCTGGGTAACAATAACAGAGCAGGAAGCACCACAATCCCTGATTTGAAGCTATTACAAAGCCAGAGTGATTAAAAAAAAAAACCAGCATGGTATTGGCATAAAAACAGACTTGTGCATCAAAGAAACAGAATAGAAGAAGCAAAAACAGACACATTTAGGTACTTGATCTTTGACAAAGGGCCAAAAACATACACTAGAGGAAAGACAGCCCCTCTAGCAAATGGTACTGGGAAAACTGGATACCCACATGCACAAGACTGAACCGAGACCCATATATCTAATGATGCATTACACCAAAAAATTAAAAAGGATCAAAGATCTAAATGTTAAAACAGAAACACTTAGGAGCTGGGGATTTAGCCCAGTGGCACAGCGCCTGCCTGGCAAGCATGAGGTCGCAAGATCGATTCCCAATACCGGAAAAACAAAACAAAACAGGGGCTGGGGATTTAGCTCAGTGGCAAAGCGCCTGCCTGGCAAGCGCAAGGTCATGAGTTCGGTTCCCGGTACCGGAGAAAAACCAAAACAGAAAA